AGAAGTGGGTTGTCATCGGAGTAATGACAAGACTACACATCGATGACAAGAGAGCCCCACATAGTTAACACACACTTTCAGGGGGAATGGAAGAATACTCTTGTGAACAGCATGAACGTTATTGCTTAGAAAATTATAATTTAGGTGCTAGATACTGTAGGAAAACACTGGAGAAAGGAGGAGTGAGTATTTTTGTACATGAAAACCTAAAATTTACTAAAATAAATTTAGAAGATTATTGCAAAGACCAGGATCTGGAAGCATGTGCTCTAAAGTTAGACTCTCCTTTTTCAAATATTTGTATACTGACTTTATATAGAGCCCCATCTGGAAACTTCGATCACTTTATAAATAGATTAGAAACCATCCTAAATGTACTGCATAGTTCAAAAGTTGAATTTATAATTTGTGGTGATATAAATATAAACTATCTCATCGACAGTAATAGGAAACTAAATTTAGACTCTTTGTTATCATCTTACAATCTCTCCAGTACTGTTAACTTTCCCACAAGAGTTCAAAATAATTCTAGTTCAGCGATAGATAATATATTCATTGATAACTCAAAATTAAGAGACTATACTGTAGGACCCTTTATAAATGGCTTATCCGATCATGATGCTCAACTCATAGAAATAAATAATATTGACCTTCAGCCCAGTAATCAACAATATCAAACAGTAAGGAAAATCAACAAGCATACGATGGCAGATTTTGTCACAAAATTAAGTAATGAATCATGGGACAATGTATTTGACAGCAATAATATTGATTCTAAATTTAATTGCTTTCTGAACACATACTTGAGGATCTTTTATTCAAGCTTTCCCTTAAAAATAGTCAAAAATGAAAATAAAAACAAATCCACCTGGATAACAATTGGAATAAAAACTTCATGTAAACACAAAAGACAACTATATTTGGCCAGTAGGGACAGTAATGATCCAAGACTAAAAAGTCACTACAAAATGTACTGTAAAATTTTGTCAAAAGTCATTAAAGAAGCCAAACAGAATAACTATAACAGCCAAATTCTAAAATCAAACAATAAAATTAAAACCACCTGGGATATTGTGAAAGTTGAATCAGGAAAGAAATCTGTTAATGAAGACGTACAAAGTTTGAATATTGAAGGGAAGTCCACTAACAATCCACAAGCTATCGCAAGTGCATTTAATGAATATTTCCTTTCATTAGCTGAGAAAACATATTCCAATAATAATAATAATAATAATAATAATAATAATAATAATAATCCAATATACTATCTGTCTCGTGCCTTTAACAATTCATTTCCAAATATCAATCTCAAATTCTCAACAAGGAAGGAAATTGAAAACATTATTAAATCCCTTAAGCCCAAAAATTCACATGGATATGATGAAATCTCTACCAAATTACTTAAAGCAAGCTCTGTTTACATCAGTTCACCCTTGAATCATCTATGTAATAAATCTTTATCATCAGGTACTTTTCCTCAACGCTTAAAATACGCTGTAATGAAACCACTTTTTAAAAAAGGAGAGAGAAAATGCATCTCTAATTACAGACCAATATCCATATTGACTTCATTCTCAAAAGTCTTTGAAAAAGTTATGTATAATAGACTACTTGAACACTTAAATTCTAACAACATATTAGTCAAAGAGCAATTTGGATTTAGGAAAGACCTAACAACAGAAAAAGCAACCTATGAACTAACTAACGATATTTTAAGTGCTCTCAATGACAGATTAATTGTGGGAGGGATTTTCTGTGATCTAGCAAAAGCTTTCGATTGTGTTAATCATGATATCTTACTATCGAAATTAAATTTCTATGGAATAACTGGCAAAGCTAATGAATGGATCAAATCATACCTCAAAAACAGGTATCAAAGAGTTGAAATAAATAATAAAAACTCCAGTCATAATGCATTTTCAAACTGGGGAATTATAAAGCACGGTGTTCCACAAGGATCAATTTTAGGTCCCTTACTTTTTCTTCTCTACATAAATGATCTATCTAAAACCATCAACAATAAATCTAAACCAATTCTATATGCAGATGACACTAGTATAATATTTAAGAACTCTAAATTTGACAACTTTAAAAATGACATAAATATTGTATTTGAAGCCTTAAACAGATGGTTCGAAGCCAATTTACTCTCATTAAATTTTGATAAAACCCATTACATATCATTCACAACTAAAAACAACCACCAAATTGATCTGGACATCAGTTATGCCAACAAATTAATCTGTAAAGTACTTGATACAAAATTCCTTGGAATACATGTAGACAGTACACTGTCTTGGAAAATACATATTGAACAAATTATACCTAAATTAAATGCAGCTTGCTATGCGATGAGATCAATTAAGCCTTTTATGTCACAGGAAACATTGAAGATGGTTTACCATGCCTACTTTCATTCTATTATGAACTATGGATTAATATTTTGGGGGAACTCTTCACATAGTGTAATAATTTTTAAAATACAAAAGAATATAATAAGAATCATTACAGGATGTAGAAGTAGAGATTCATGTAGAGAATTATTTAAGAAATTAAAAATTCTACCGCTTCAATCGCAATACATATTATCGCTTCTCCTATTTGTTGTTTACAACAAAGATAAATTCAAATTAAATTCTGATGTCTATAACATGAATACTAGACAAAAATACAACTTCCACCTACCCTCATCAACTTTATCAGTATATCAAAAAGGAGTCTACTTTACTGGCATAAAAGTGTTCAACAATCTGCCACAAAGTATTAAAAACTTGGGCAATGATACTAAAAAGTTTAAATCAGAGTTAAAGAATTATCTACATGCTCATTCCTTCTACTCTTTAGATGAATACTTCAATGTAAATAGAGAATGATGTAAAATTAAGTTATATTAATTTTTAAGCTAAAATTGCCTGTACTTATGTATGTAACATTTTGACTTGTTCTGTATCCAAAGGTACTAACCTGCTTAGGATTTATAGAATGTAAATAAATTCAATTCAATTCAATTCAGTTAGGTGCATGGAGCCTAAATGCTGCAAGTTTGACAGTCCTGATTTACTTCATTCCTCAAGCTGAATGCTTTAAGCCAATATCTCATTGCAAGTTTGTTAGTTATTATATCCTTATAGCCATTATTTAACATATATTAAATTGAGATAACCAGTGCTTTCTTCAGCCAGCTAATGTGTCCTGGCAAACTTGTGAAGTTACACATTTTGTGATGCATTGTATTTTTTGACCTTGAGGATAGAATTGTGCGTGAGAGAGCTAGTAAAAACAGTTTCAGAAAATAAAAAGCCTTGGAGACAGCTGATTTCTCTTCATGGAATAATAATGCTATCGAACAACAATCTGTCCTGTCTTATTCTTGTAGATAAATATGAAAAAGCATTACTGACAGATTTTAAGACATCTCTTAGTATGATGTCAATATAAAACGTCTTTTACCTCACTTTCATGCAGTGGAACCCACTTTCACAGACAAGGCTTTTATGCCTGAGATTTCATACTGTAAGGGTAAGTTAGTACTTGAGAAAATGCCATTTCCAATAATTAACTTAGTGAGTTAAGTTAGTTTATACTAAGATATATCATCTAAATTTAAGACTATTTTACTGATCACTCCAGAGTATTCAGGATAAAAGGTAAGGTAAAATTGTCATTGTGCTTAATTGGTTAAGCACTGTGTCTTGAAGACATATGGCAGTGTGGAGGTATAGCTCCACCTTTCTTGTCCTCGGCACTAGATTGAGGTGAGTGGTAACCTTCACACCCCTGCTGCTTTACCTCTGTGGAAAGAGCCACTGTCACCCATTGGATACGATGCTGGGTGAGCCTCAGAGTTGGTTGGGATGCTGTGAAGAAGAGAAGAATCTTGCCCTGCCAGGAATTGAACCCGGACTGTCCATCCAGTAGCCTGTAGCTATCTTGACACCTAAGTATTCAGGATAGTAGAATATATTAAAATTATATATATCATATCTGGTATTAATATTTGGCATATTTTCTTCTTTTTAAATTGTGATTCTTCCACCAAAATCCAAGGGAGGGTCTCAGATGTCTGTCTTCCTCTACCCTCCTGCTAGTGCCCATGCTAGTAGGTTAAATTTATGTGGTACAGGACATTCATTAATAAACCATTTCTTGTTCTGTTAGGTGTGTGCACTGACAGGTCGCAGGTACACATATGCTGAATCACGTGGAATTGCACGAAGATTCGCAGCATCACTCTGTAGGGCTGGGTTCAAGCATGGGAATGTGTTGGCTGTGGTGCTGCCCAATGTACCAGAGTTCCCACTTGTTCTGTTTGGAGCTCTTGAAGCTGGCATGGTTGTCACTACTGTCAATCCAGTCTTCACTCCAGGTATGCCATCACATAAGATTCTTGATTATCAAGCTGGTAAATATGAGAAGTATTTAATGTTTGTGGCACTTGAAATTTTAGAAGAGTACCATCTTCTGGTATATAATGCCATGTAGCCCACTGAAAGTCATCCAATATGTCAGAGGAACATATTGCTTCCATCTTCAGGATTAAATAAGCCTAGAAGATGCAAGCATGTGACAGATACACCATTATCTTTGGTAAAACAGCCATTTTGAGCTATAGCTTCCCTTAGAGGATTCTGTAAGATTTGTCTTGAATTAGGCCAACTTGTTTGAACTCCTTTCCATTTTGCAACAATAATTCTTTTCAGAGTAAAGTCATCAACCTTGTGTTCAACCTCCAACCTGGAGGGCCAGGTATCTGTATTTATGTCTCCCAGTAATAAAGTGGCCTGTGGACTTGCATACATTTGTACAAAATTTTGGGTATAGTGATTTTATAAGGAAACAGGAACAATTTCCTTTCAAAGTGATTAGTTCATAGGTAAAGTAAGTAAAAGTAAAAGTAAAGGTATCCCTTTAACAGATCGTGGAGGCCCATAGGGTTGTGAGACATTGAAGGTCCCACATTATCTAGAAAATTGGCTCAAAGATGGTGGTAAGGTTGTCAGCCTTATGTGCCAGCTGTGCTTTACTCCCCAGGAAAATTATTTAATTCATTCCTGGTACTCATTTCTGTTAGAGGCTGAGTAGACCCCAGGGCCATAGTGCAGCTGGAAGGATTAGGTCAATTGAAAAAAATCCAGTGACCTCATCAGGACTTGAACCCACGACCTTCCAGCTTGTAGCATAGTGCCTCAACTAACTACGCTACCGCATGCCCCGATTAGTTCATAGGAGATACATTAAGTCCCCTTCCACGCCTATAGTATCACTATCAGTGTCTGAGCTGTGAGAAGGAAAAACAATATAATGTTTGGTGTACATAATTTCAGATTAACCATCAAATAACTTTCTTGCCATTTATTTTTATACTTTCTGCCTTCATATGTTGTCCATTCTGAGAGAACCTGTATATTCAAAAGTTATCTCCCTGTCACAGGAAATGAGAATCCTACTTCCCATGAACATGCCAAGTAAATTTTTAGGGGACAAATATAATCCACTGTATGGTATGATGAAATTTGTAAAAGATAACAATGAGATGATGATGATGATGCATCATTGAAAGAATAATATGGTTTGAAGTAAGCTGGAATGCTGTCTCCTTTTAATCAGCTTCAAATATGATGATAAATTTACAAATATGGTCTTGTATGTGTGCAGTAGAACTGAAGTAATAAATCACACTTCAGAAATATGAAGAAATTAAAATGAAGAAAGCTGGGATTTGGCAGCGTGTATATGTGGTGTTAACCGACGTTTCGGAGGAACGTATCGCCCCCATCTTCAGGGTAGAAGAAAAAGTATAAGAAATCTGCAAGCGACAACACCGTGAGAAACGGTAAAGTAGACAGTCTGCTTTACCGTTTCTCACGGTGTTGTCGCTTGCAGATTTCTTATACTTTTTCTTCTACCCTGAAGATGGGGGCGATACGTTCCTCCGAAACGTCGGTTAACACCACATATACACGCTGCCAAATCCCAGCTTTCTTCATTTTAATTTCTTCTTATTTCTGAAGTGTGATTTATTACTTCAGTTCTACTGCACACATACAAGACCNTTTTTTATGTCATCATTCTCTTTATTCTGTGAATGAATGTTATCCAAGTAATTGGTTGTGTGTAAATTTGTAATGCATTAAATTCAGTTAATTTAGGTAATTTAAATAAAATTGTATTAATTTGAGTTTTATAGTAATATTCTTTTTCAATTATGTTTATTAATTAAAAATCTTATTAAGTTTTTTATATTATATTATTATTTATGTTAATTGATTAATGTAAGTGATTTTAATTAACTCATGTAATTTAGTATATCTATTCTCAAAGGGACTATTTCCTCATCCTAGGTTTGTTACCTCTATGGATATATTGAAAATAAAGGAAATGAGTTAACTTGGGCACAACAAATGAAGCACTTACCCTGGGCTCAGTGGCCGCGCCATAGCTCAAGCGGTTACTCGCTGGCTTCCCACCACGGCGGCCTGAGTTCGGTCCCGGGTCTGGTCAAGTGGGATTTGTGGTGGACAAAGTGGAGCTGGGACAGGTTTTCTCCGAGTACTTTGGTTTCGCCTGCCAATCTTCATTCCACCAATTGCTCCACAGTCACCCTCACCTGTCATCTGGTGCTGGTACAATAGGCCAGAAGTAGCCGCAGTACAAGGGATTTAGTCCCACCCCACTAGCAATAAAAAAGAGAAATATTCTGGGCACAGATTAAAGGTGGTGTATCGACCACAATTAGAAAATGTCATCAAATTAAATAAGATTATTACTGAATGTTGTTGGGTCAGAGTACAAGCTGTGAATGAAACGAGAACTAACTCCAATATACTTGTCAACTGATTCAAAAGTAAAAATATATGGAAAAAGAATAGCCAATTCCTCCTCAGACCGAAATGTAATAACTAATAACAAAGAGATCTCTTAATTGTAATTCATTAGACATTAATTCCTTGGCACACTATGTAATTTGTGCACCCAAAATATTTTTATATAATTGATTGTAATACTTGAAAATGTTTAAATTTGCCACAGAACTCCCGTGTCGGTATTCTAGAGCTCTTGTTTGATAAGTCACTTGTTTAAACTCTGAAGACTGTTCTCTGCTGGCATGGAATGCCAGGTGGTCTGATAGAAATTACCCGATGCTCTGGAGGAATGTGCTACTTGTAGTTTCAGGGATCTCTTCTACTCTGAAGATGGAAGCGTCATCTTACATCAGAATATTTGTATGAACTTCTATTACGCTGCATGGCATCACATCCCAAAAGATGGTGATGTTTGTAGTCATTGTGATTAAGACTGGAAACATGTACCCTCAAGTGACTAAGATAACCAAGAAATGATATATGGATCATCAGTAAGAATATGTCACTGTTTCGCAGAGGAAATAGGAAAGCAGCTAAGAGACTCTGGAGCTGTTGGTGTTGTAACGATATCAGACATCTATTCGAAAGTGTCTAAAGCGGTTGCTGTGCTGGAGGCTGAGAGAAAGAGCAAGATTCCAATCATCCTCACTCCAGGACTAGAAGATAAGGCAATTCCACGGGGAACAATCAACTTCCAAGATATGACCCACAAAGGGATTGATACATCAAACCTTGGTGCTCATAACATGCTGAGTCCTGACAGTTTGGTGGTGCTGCCATATTCCAGTGGGACCACAGGACTACCCAAGGGGGTGAAGCTCTCACACAGACATCTTATCACCAACTGCCTACAGGTGTTATCTGAGCCCAAGATATGTAGAGCTGAGAGAGCCACCGGTAAGTATAATATTCATATTGCTCTTCATACAGTAAAACTTATCTAACACAGAAGTTGAATTGAAAGAATATCTGTTTATCAAAAATATTTGTGGTCCTAAACTATATTATACTAATATGAATTAGTTCTAATAGCAAGTATTTAATATTGTGATGCACAGACCCATCACTAGGCAACACCACTGCCTGGCAATGGAAAACCCTCGGCCTATTTTGGCCAAGATTTTTTCTTCATGGGAATTTGTTCACTTAGCTGTTCCCTAGCAATGGATATACATGTTACAATATCATGCCATCTGAGGCTATCTGAACAGTTTACTTCATACATACCTCCCATCAGTAATACCAACATTGAAGATTCTGAAATTATTGAGGTAATAACCATAATATTACTTGAATTCCCCAGTTAATCAGCATGAATGTTGGTGCATATATCATGCCACCTGAGGCCAATTCAGTGGCATGCTACTTAAATCCCTCCCATCAGTAATACCACCACTGAAACCTCTCATATTGTTGAGGTAATAGTCTTAATATTACTTCAATACCTGAACCAGTTGTCATGAAACGTGGTGTAAGAACCACACCATATGAGGAACCTTCTGTGACATACCTCACAAATACCTCCCTTCAGTACTACCAACAAATGGCCACTCAAATTCTTACTGTGGATGCTGTAAGCTAGATCTTACCTAAACACTCATTTCCTGGATACGATACTACTTAGATCATTAATGGACTTCTTTTATATGCACTGTGAAAAATTACACTTAAAACAAAGTAAAAGTAAAATTACATACCCAAACCAATAAATGACCGTGTTTTCTTAATGGAAAACCATTTAATTAAATATTACTGTAGCAATATATATGCATTATAATACTCGTATCTGTTACCATGGAATTAAAACTATAATTTTGCCTGTGGTTCTATATGGGTGTGAAACTTGGTCTCTGACATTAAAGGAGGAACATAGACTGAAGGTGTTTGAGAGCAGGGTGTTGAGAATATTTGGACCGAAGAGAGATGAAGTGACAGGAGGTTGGAGAAAACTGCATAATGAGGAGCTTCATAACTTGTACTCTTTTCCAAGTATAATTAGAATGATCAAGTGAAGGAGGATGAGGTGGGCAGGGCATGTAGCACAAATGGGGGACATGAGGAATGCGTATAGGATATTGGTGGGAAAACTAGAAGGAAAGAGACCACAGGGAAGACCAAGGCGTAGGTGGGTGGACAATATTAGAATGGATCTTAGAGAGATGGGAAGGGATGGTATGGATTGGATAGATCTGGCTCAGGATATGGACCAGTGGAGGGCTCTTGTGAACACGGTAATGAACCTTCAGGTTCCATAAAATGCTGGGAAATTCTTGAGTATCTGCTGAATTGGCGGCTCCTCCAGAAGGGCTCAGCTCCATGAGTAAGTAAGTTACCATGGAATTAGTGTACATATTCTGGTTTACACAGAATGCCACATGGCCATAGAGGAGTCAGTGAAATTGCTGTGGATGAGCAAGGGTGCAAGAGAGTTTTTTAAGGACTTCATAATTTGCTATTGAAATGTGGGTTCTAGCAACAATGTTACCACCTTAAATTTTATTATTACATGTACAATTTAGATTCTACAAAAATCAAATTTATAGTGTTGTTTTACTGACTTCATTATGCATACATATTAAATCGTTTCTCTACTTGTCACGTCAGAAACACAAATTGTAGTGAAAGGGAAGTAGGCAATTAGGTCTTCCCAGAACTTCTTGTTATATTATAATTTTGCCCTGCTTACTGACTACAAGGCATGAACATATACATGTTTCTCTCCCCGTTTACTCCAAATCAACCTCTGTACTAACATCTTACAGAGCTTCTGTGTTGCTGTTTATGGTATTCGAGTTTGTGCCAAATAAATTATCAGCAGAGGTCAAAAGCTGGTGTTTCATTTCAAGTTTATTGCAGTAAGGTTCTCTGGGATATACCTAATAACTTACTCTAAAGCAAAGTTAAAAAGCAGTAGTTATCTCCATGTTTCAGATTATTCTGAATAGGAAATGGATTAGACAGATGTTTACCTGTATGGTCTCTGCTGTAGGTTTCAGTAGTGCTTTTAATTGACCTAATTTCATAGGTGCACCAAATAGAATAAAAGTATTGTACAATAAAATAAACCTTTATCCAGCATAGTGGATATGTCTTGTCAGATCAGTTCCTTTGGGGAATATGCACTGGGTGATATTAATGGGAATTATAATTGAGCTGAATATTTTCACCATTGCATATGCTGAATAAAACAAACAAAGTTGGTTTTGTACGTAAATAGATAAACAAAAGCTAAAATATCTAGCTGTTTGAACAGCAGTGGTATTTACCATAGGTAAAAGAGTATGTTCAATAGACTGAATATACTTAAATTTTCCCTATTTGGCAAGTAAATATTTGCATTTATTTTTGCACTTATAATTGAACCTATTTAACAAAACCCTATTNTCACTGAAACGAATTTGCAGAGGAAAATTTATCATGGAGTAATCCCAGGTGATGTCATGATAATCATAGAGTTGCCCTCCCAGTGAAAAGCCGACCCACTGATGGAAAGGCTGTCCTCCCAGTGAAAGGCTGACCCACCGGTGGAAACACTCGTGTCGCCAATTCCTTTCAATGGCGTGCAGGCACAACTACTACTCTGTATTTATATGCATTTCCGGACCCATGTTGTCATGTACTTTTTTTCTTCTCTTTATATGAGGAGTCTGTTCCTGAAGTTTTGGCGTTGAGTTGTGATACACCCTGTATATAATGTGTTTTATGTGAATAATCAGTTGCTGTTTCTCAATTTTTAAACTACAGATTTTGTATGCAAAATTCTGGCACATGGTCTCTTTGAAAGAATCCACCCACCCAGGTATAAATATTTTCCCATATCTGCCTTGTGGGTTAGCCCTTTTGTTATGCACACAAACCCACAGACATATAATATTGTGACGTGGATGGTGCGACAGGAAGTAAGGGTCACGTGAACTCTGCGGTCTCGCGAGTGATGTCACATACCCCCACTCCTTCCATCATTACGCAGTGCTCAGTAAACACCCCCCTCCCCTGCAGTGATGTAAAAATTGCGTAAGAACATCTTCCTGATCTATACTGTTCCCTAACATTATCAAAATGTTGGCCTGGAGATTGGCTTTCCTGACTGAAGAGCTTATGATTTTGCTAGGTCATGATAAATACATTTTGCAAAAGGACCTTAAATCAGACCATGACCACTTTCTTCACATCTTTGTAATTCAGATTAATAATTATTTAAAATTCAATGGTATATAATCTTAGAAATTGAAAATGTATTTAAATAAACAAAGAATAAATAAATTATTATGCAAGTTTATGTTCTCATTGAAAAAATCTGTGACTTGAAATAATAAACATGTTGCATAAAAATAGAAAATGGCCTGCAAATCTGATTGCTTACTATACTTGTTCTAGATGACTTTCGAGAAATTGTTCCAGCTCTTCTACCGTTCTACCATATCTATGGGTTACTTTCTCTAGCCATAGCTTCGCTTTACTGTGGTGCAAAAGTTGTCACGGTACCAACGTTTGAGCCTGCCCAGTTCATATCAACAGTTGTTAAATATAAGGTAAATACCACAGCTGTCTTTATACTGCTTCTAATATGATTTGATCTTAAATTGGAAAGGAAACATCCACAATTGTATTTAGAGAGCACAGTATTATGCTTTGAAGCTTACATGAAATTAGTAATGTTGATATGGCAGTACTAGTCATCATCAGACTGAAAATTTTGTGATTTAGAATGTGTCATCTGAATGTCAAATACAACAGGGATACACTTGTGAAACCTACCACAAAGCGCCTTCAGGCCAACTACCAACTGCACTAGTGCAGACCACCTGCCATATCACTGCCTGTTGCACAAACTGTGCACTCTGGTCACCATGTCCATTTCCTAAGTCATTTCAATATGGGTGGGTGGGATGAGTTGACTTCTATGACAAACATACTCTAAAAACTGTGTGAGGCACTTCAGTCCAGTCAATGATAAAACATTTGGTTAATGAACTTATTTTTCTATGCAGGCCACTGCGTTGTATCTGGTGCCACCTGTGATACAGTTCATGAGCTCTCATCCAGATGTTAAGACCTCTGACTTTGAAACAGTGAGGTTAGTAAACAGTGGAGCAGCTCCTATTGGTTATAATGATGTGGAACGTTTGCTAGAGAAGGCGCCACATGTGGAATTTACTCAAGGTATATTTCATCAGTTATTAAACAAAAGAAATATATTATAATCTTAAAATATAACATTTAGAATACATGACATGGCTGGAAAGCAATACTGGTCGATATTAATAGAAGGCTAGTATTAACTAAACCAGTCACAGTAGCTGCATGCCATGAACTGTTTTCGCTTGCTTGGATGCTGGGATTGTTGGTTCAAATCCTACTCAAGGCATGGATGTTTGATGTGTGTATGCATTTGTTTTGTGTTTGTGTTGCCCCACGAACTGCATAGAAAACACCGTTTTCAAAATTTATTCTGTTGTTGCATGCATATCCATTGCTGCAGACTTGTGTTTATTGAGCCATTACTAAGCAATTACTGTCTTCCTCAGTCATCATATTACAATATTAATATTTATCCATTAATTTATCATGATACTAAATACTCATGATCTGTACTAATAGCTTCGTCAGATCAACCATAAATGGCAATCCAACTTCATACTTGTATCTCAACCACTGTTTGATATAGGACAAATGTGTATAATTGTGATACTTGTTATTTAAAACTCTCATTCTCAGGGCAGAACATAGATCAATAATGTTTTGAGATTAAAGTGCTGAGGATAATATTTGAACCTAAGAGAGATAAAGAACAGGAGGATTAAAACAAATTATATAATGATATTTATCTGTAATTGTACTCTTCATTAAATAATATTATGGTGATGAAATCAAGCAGAATGAGGTGGGAAGGAATGTAGAACACACAACAAGAGATGATAAATGCATCTGTACATTTCATAACAACTTCCCATAACATTATGTGTAATGTTCCCATCTCTTAGAACGTGCAGTCAAAAGAAGGGAAGGTGTAAAATTTGGCACTCTCTAATTATGTTATTTTTCTCTGTATCTTCTAACAGCATCTGTAGCAGTAATATTGCAGTATTGGATCATACGATATGACGCACGTTTGCTAATTCAATATGTGAACAGCCACTTTTGACACTGGATTAGTATGTAATGTGCTCTCCAAAAAAATAGAATGCTTCAGACTAACTTTAAACGTAATATGTCCTGGAGTAAGACTCTCAGGTACTGTAAACATCAACACAAAATTCAGTATCAGATGGTTTTCTACAATCACAATGTGATACAAACAAAACACTCTTCTAATGTCGATTTTTTTTCAAAATGTGACAGCAAGAGCTGATATTTTGTAATGGTTATAATTTTTTAAGGAAGGCCAGGGTACATGTTTATGTGAATATTTTTACTTATTTTGATTTCTATAAACTATCCTGTAAAATATGGAAAGTAATAATGAGACATTCTCTAAAAAGGGGTGTAAATGTGTGTATGTGATGGTACACACCATGTACCTAGTTCTAGAGCATTCCTTTATTTTCCCATGAATCTGTGTCCAGTTGTTTATAGATATTGTAACTATTTTCCTTCAAACCTGTCGCCTATTTTTCTTTTAATTTTATTATGTTTAAAGAAGATCTGGCCTTAGTAGTTCACTGCAGTATCACCTGTGGAGTTCACAGTCTGTATGGCCATGGGTGTGGGAAAATAATACTCCTCTCTCTGTTTCAAAATGCTTGGCTTCTAAAGAGCATTGAAACAAAACTAACTGCTCAATAATGTTAAGTAAACATTTAGGGAGGTAACAGATCAAGGGACAGGATCTGTCACAAGTCTTCATTTCCATAATGTGGTGGTCACTATCACATTCTACTCTTTCCCTGATTCTGCTGCGTATATCTAATATGAAATTCCATTCTCCTCCCACATACATATTGTCATGTGTTGGCTGTGTGATGCAACAAATAACTTCACACTGGTCAAGGATGTAGCAAATATTTATTGTACTTCGCTTTTACACTTAAGTAATTCACAGTGTGACAATTATTGTCACTTATAACTTTTCCTTCACATTCACAATTCTTCTGTATTTCAACGCTGCTTTCAACTCTGTATGAACACTGTCCTGTGTTTCAACTGTACTCAGCGACTGCTAGAATTCAACTGTCACTGTCTCGGCAAATGCATTCAACCATTTATATAGGCCTCTCATGGACCACACAGAAAACAGCCTATATTGTTGGCCATGTTTACCGACTGATTGCCTAGCAACGGTCACTGCATGGACTCCACTGTTGCGTGACATCACAGCCTAGCGGGGACGGGTTTTTACCAAGCGTCATGTGGTGAAGGGATGATTTGGGATATGTGACATCACTCGCTATCCAAGCATTTGCAGAGTTGTCGCCTAGCAACGTGCCGATACAATCCACAACTTTACCATTGTGCGCCTGCCCCTGTGGCTCAACAGTACCTGCATAGGGCAAATACGCCACAATATATAGTTTCAGTAGATATCTTGTATAATAAATTTGTATTGAGATATACATTTATCCCAAACATGTGTACAAATTATTCATAAAAACAGATTTTAACAATGAAAATCAACTTCAAGCATGTTGAATGTTGTCCAGAGTGAATACAAAGAATGTGCGTGTGTGCACGCATGCGTGCGTGCAACGGATTATAAATGGGTATTGTCTAGGAACATTTTATGGCCTGCTTTCAAGAACTGACAACAGGAAAGTAACAATCCCATCAAAATTTCTGTTCAAGGTTATGGGTTGACAGAGTCTTCTCCTGCTGCAACCATTTTGGAGAAAGGAAGCACTAACTACAAGTCATGTGGCAAACCTATTCCTAATACTGAAATGAAAATAGTTAACATGGATACTAACATGAATCTGGGACCTGGAGAGGCTGGAGAAGTGTGTATTAGGGGTCCACAGGTAATATCTTAATGGAAGTTGAAAATTCTAGATATTTTTATAAATGCAAACATATTGAAGAAGGTAACTGAAGATCTGGCAACGTCCTTTTTTTGAGACACAGTGAATGCTAGATACAACTCATATTTGAAGCCTAGAATATGAACAGATGAATTTAGAAGCCTGATTCTCATAGAAGTCAGAAGAATCTAATTACAGATTCTTTCAATAATATGCCAGAAAAATACCTTCACTTTTGATGAACTTAAATATGTAGCACTGGATAATACAATCTCCATTTCATTCTTGTAAAATCAGAATATAATCAGGAAAGAAAAGACAACCTGAATGTTTTAAAATAGAAAGCTCACATATATTACTGAAATAATGAATAATAAATAGAATAGCTAAATAACTTTTCAGGTGTTGGTGCCTTTAATTCACTGTACTCGTATTAGGTGTATGCAGTGGATTGTAAACCTGATTCAGTCACTTTTTCTTGGGCACAAGAAAAGAGACATATGGACCAACTGGGTGTCATTTTATGACACACAACTATCAGGTTAAAATGAACTGAACAGATAATTTCCTGCTTAACATATTTATTTACTTCTTGCAGTTATCTTATTATCAATGCATAATTCTGATTCTAAAACAAGAATTTTAGGAAAATTTGGTCAGTTCATTTTTAGGTTAACCTTTTATAATGGTAAGAACAACAGTTGCAAACAGGACACACATGACATCTTAAAGGAAATACATGCAGATGATTGGGCTGTACTATCTGAACCAGAATATATTATGTAGGATTTGAATTTCTCAAGGTGGTGATTATGAAGAGTACTGACTTCCGGGATGTAACGCCATGTGGTTCGTTCAAAGTCAACCGACGTTTCAGAGGAACATATCACTTCCATCTTAAGGGTCGAACAACCCAAGCAAGATAGCGTGACAGCAGGTGAAAAACAGAGTAATTGGCTAGTCGAAGTCAGTCATGTTATGACTGATTGTCGGTCGGTCGGTCGGTCGGTCGGTCGGTCGGTCGGTCGGTCGGTCGGTGGTTTTGAGCCCCATCTGGAGCTCATGAACATATCTCAATTACTGTTTGACAGCTATGGATTTGCCTATGTAGGGTGCTCTATCTGATGAGGGGAAGGGTCTGTCATTTGACAGAATTATAGTCAGCAGTATGTCATTTACATGTATTCTAGTTTGACAGCTGTCAATATGTAAAAGTAAAAAAAGTAAAGGTATCCCTGTAGCAGGCCATGAAGGCCCACAGGGTTGCAAGACGTTGAGGGTCCTACATTATCTAGACAGAAGTAAACACACAGAAAAAATTAAACATATGTTCACATCTCATAAGATTGCAAGAGGATATCTTAATTTATAGGAAATTCTATAAAAAATGTGGCAAAGTTAAAAATACTTGGAAATGGCAATAACAACTCAAAATTGCGTTCATGAAGAAATAAAGAGCAGTGTTAATTCATAAAATACTTGCTACCCTACACATCAGACCTTTTTGATTCTTCTCTGACATCAAAAAGTTAACGATTAGCAAATACAAAACTGAAATATTACCTTTGCTTTTGTACATATGTAAAACTTGGTCTGCCATGTTAGGGGAAGGGAATAGACAGAGGCATTGAGAACAAGCTGTTAAGAAAATTATTTCTACCTAAGTGGGACAGATGTTAATAGAAGAAACAAGAATATTGCATAATGAGGAGTATCATAGCTTTTATTTGTCACCAAAAATTTTTAGGAAGACCGAATCAAAGGGAGTGAGATAAAGTGAGACCTGTAGCATGCATGCAAGATATGAAATATGCGTACAGAGTTTTTCTTGGGAAACTTACATTTAAATTTATTTTCACTTCATGGATCCAATCATCTTCCCATAGGTGTGGATATAAAACATGTCACACATTACAAATTCATGATGACTACACATCATACGTCCTTGGTCCAATAAAATATATAATTAGGCCTCATGCAGACAGCACAGGTTGTCAAGACAACATACCTAGGCCATGGAAAAACCACTGTCAAATTCACACCTTGCCATTCCACACACACTGGCCAGCCATATCAACAGTGCAATTTCATTCATTCATTCATCTGTAAACTGTCAGACGACAGGTCCACAGTCTCCTCCAAAACAGTTCCTCCACTTAATGTGATCTAGAGCTTTCTCCTTCAAATGAGAATATCCTCTTCTGTCTCCAAGGTCATCCAGCATCTTCTTACGTTTTCCTCGTCTTCTGTTCACTTCTATCCACCCCTCTGTCTTTCCTTCAATAACTTCTTTTAGAAGGCAGTTACTGCGTAAGATACGACCAATCCAATTAGCCTTCTGTTTTCTTATTTCATGTAGGATATTCCTCTGCTCACTGAATCTAAATAACACTTCTTCATTTCTCACATAATTGGTCCAACTGATCTTCTCCATCCTTCTCCAACACCACAATTTCATTATAACATTAAAATTCATAACAAACACAGACATACATACTGCCACACTTACAGCAAGCAAGTCTCAACAACGTTTAATACAAGCACACAGACCATTTATTAACGCTTATCTTTTGAGCCCCTTGCATGCTCAACAAATTTGTCAATAGAGTAAAATGAGTTACTTTGCAAATAATTTTGTAAAACAAACCTAAATTGATTTTTATAATTTTTAAAACAGATATATTTGAAGGCAGAGTGTTAAATAGGGTAGTGAACATTCAGGTTCCCAAAGGGTGGAGGATATCTTAACTGTGTGATTGGCTCTTAGCTTTTCAAGAAGGACTGTGCTCCATGGAGTTGATTCAATTTTACTTCAGAAAAATTAATTTTGAAGTATTATTATTATTATTATTATTATTATTGGAGGGGGTGGGTTTCCCCATGCACCACGACCAGTTTGATCTATTGTACGTCCCCCTGTGATATTCTACCAGTCTCTATACCCTACCGGTACTGGTGCGTGTGGTAGCGAATCCTGATCCTTTAAAAAAGGGAAACTGGAAGGAACACAGTTGAGATTTCTATGATCTGTATGGGGTGTTACAATGCTTTTTTTTTTTTTTCGGGGGGAGCGTCAACATGGTCAACATACAGAACCGCAAAACAGGAACATTCAATAGTAGAAAAACGTCCGTACAACAGAAGCATACAAACACACACTCAAAGGAGAATATAACTTCAGTCGCGATNTCACTTTGTCCACCACAAATCCAACTTGACTAGACCTGGGATTGAACCTGGGCCGCCGTGGTGGGAAGCCAGCGACTAACCGCTTGAGTTATGGCGTGGCCACTGTTAAATGCTTACTTGTGACCATAATACAGAAGTAAGAAAATAAATAAAATATTCAAACCAGTATTAGCAAAAGTGAAAGCTATCAAGGAATTGGCCACGTCTTATATAGAGAATGAAGACAAATTGGTCACCTCGTAGGTGTTGCAATAAAAGTTTCTTGGTCAAGGATTTTAATGGTGCCTCTAGAACAGATGAGATAACTGTACCTGGAGGGCTTAAGGGTAGAAAATTTTAATCCTTCTCATAACATGAAGATGATTTCTATTATCTCACAAGAATACCGAGGATTTCAAACTTTACCTAAAACAAGGCAAATGTCAGGAGAGTTAACAGTCCTTCAACTAGTCAAGGATTTCACAGGTTTTTACAGAAACTAAAAGTTCATTGCTCTGTTCACAACAGCCTGTCAGGTTTGTTTCGAGGCCTTTTTCCTGTCAATAAATGAGCTAACCCATTAATGTTCTAATTTTGTATTTCAGTCTTAACAGAAGGTCAGTTTTCATGAAGGAGGTTTCATAAAATGCACAACATCGTTTGTTCAATTTTTCTACCTTCAGCTTCTCAGGAACTCTTGGTTCTTGTTTAATTTAGTTAGTTATGTAGTTACATGATTAGTTATTTAATGAGATACTTAGTTATTAGTTGTTTGTTGGTATAAACAGAATGTATATGGATATTCAGGTCTTATAATCTTATCAAATCACAGTTGCTTTTTAACACACATGTGTGGTGTCATCAGGTAATGGCGGGATACCACAACAATCCTCAGGCTACTGCTGAAACGATTGACCCCTCTGGTTGGCTCCACACTGGAGACATGGGTTATTATGATGAAGAAAATGATTTTTACATTGTAGACAGATACAAGGAACTTATCAAGGTTAAAGGATTGCAGGTATGCTCTTTATATTTTGCTTTAGCGTAATACTGATAGATGAATTGTATGTGAAGAGGTGGGATTGTATTGAAACAGATTGTATTGATTACAGCACTCGCAGCTAAGAAGGGGACACACATCACAAGACACGATTTACACAGAATATAAGAAAAACGACCCCCATAGTGGAAAAACCAAACACAAGTTTTAATTATGACACATAAGATGAATAATCTTAACAAGTTTTAGTGTGTGTAAATTTATTATAGTTGACATATATGCACTTTTTAAATAATTTTATAAAGCAATGAAATAGATTAGTGTAATTAGGGTACCTGATGATGGCACTATGTTGCTGAAACATGTCGTGAAGTAACAGGTGAAATTAGCGGCCTCTGTAGTCTAGAGGTAACGTTCCCACCTCATGACTCGTAGTATGCGGGTTCAAATACCCGGCGGAGGTCGTCAAATTTTTAAGGGCGGAAAAATTCAGGGAACAAGTCCTCCGGGAGGGACTTTAAGCCGTGGGTCCCGTGTCGTAGCTTTACGGCACGTAAAAGAACCTCATATCTCCAAAGGAGGTCACTGAGCCAAATTACGGACGTTTCCCGCCCAACAGCAGTCTCTAATACCTCTGGTAGATGGGGGAAGCATTATAGATACCTCTCAGCTAGTAGAGCTGGTCTCGCTGGCTGGGCGGGACTGATGGAAAGAACCAGTACCGGTAGGATATAGAGACTGGTAGAAATCATAGAGGGAAGCACAATGGACCAATACAGGTCTAAGTGCATGGGGAAACCCACCCTCTCCAATAACTAACTAACAGTTGAAATTGAGTGCACTACAAGACGGCAACTGTATACATATCATGGATGAGAATCAGTGCAACAGGACGCTAAAATATAACAGTATTGAAACAGATTTGATCAAAATATTGCCAGGCAACGGCTCAGTAAACATTTCCCAACATGCAACAGTATAGAGGAAACCGTGTTTTCTATGTGGTCTGTGCACCAGCAAATGCATGGAACAATAGGTCTATTGCTAAGTAAGAAAGATTTAAACATGCATCCTTAAGCATGGAAGGTGTTGTCTGTGGATCCATGCAGAGGAGTTATCTTGATGACAATTTGCGCCACAAGTTTGGTTCTTGACAGGAGATAGCCATGGGAAGTTCACAGTTGAAGAAGTTGACATGTAAAGACTTAAGGTGTGATCTCAAGACATTATATTTGCAGTGATATCTGGAGTGTGACAGTTATATTTCCTGTGATAAAATACATTGCCAGGAAACGGATAGGGAAAACTTTGCAGAGGAATGGCCTTTGTTTAGAGTTGTTATCTAGCAATGACTAGTATAAGCAGATATAGAAGACTTTATTTATGTGTTATAATTACACTAATCTTGAAAGTGTTGTAATTGATTGTAGTTACGACTAGTGAATGTCCAATAAATCGACTCACCAATCCAAACCCATGCCTTGAGTCACTACTATACGTAACAGTATGTTTTAAAAGTATTATTCTAGCATCTGCCTGAAGGTATCAAAGGAAACCATGATGTAAGAATGCAATGTAAGAATGCGCCCACTTATGAATTAGTGAAACATTTGATGGGAACATTACACCACTACCTACTCTTTCCACCTACATGCAGTGTTCACAATTCCATTCACCTAATTACAGATTTACAAACCAAGAAACTAAACAGAGATATTAGACTATGTTCTTTCAACACAGTGAACATGTATACTTGCATACCAAAACATGACACTGTAAACATAATTAGTAGTAGACTAAAAAGTATTGCATAAATCAATAAAAATATTGAAAAGGAACATTACACATTACAATAATGTGTGGGAATTTTGAGTACTTTGTAAATAAGTTGGTTAAAGTACTCAGATTACTCTATTGTGGTTACTGCTGCTGACTGAATGCGTCTGGATGTGGAGCGCGGTCGCTGGAGTGGAGAGGCGGTAGCTACGCCAGTTGCCCAGTGAGTCGGGCATGACCGCCGGAGAGCTGAGGCAGCCCAGTGAGTCAGGCATGCCGTCGGAGAGTCGAGGCGCCCATTCCTGGTGCAGCACAGAGCCGAAGACTCCGAAGACCGAGCACTGAGGACAAAGTGTGCTGGCTGATGTTGACTGAGTGAAGGTTGAATGAAGACTGTTTGTAGACTGATGCTGCTGGGCTGGAGCTGCTCCTTTTTATGCAAAGCTTGATGGAGGAGCGAAATTTGCAGAGTGCTGATTGGCTAGCGCGTGTAATGATCTGGATGAGGCTAGACATTGAGTGCAGTATAAATGCGAATGTTGGAAGCAATTTGATTGGTTAGTGCGCATGATGGTGAAAAGTGAGTTGAATAGTGAGTGTTGTAGAAATAGCATGACATGTGGGATGTTCCCACAAATGGAATAAAATTACTTTCAGTTGAACCAACAATACTACAAACAAATCAATGGATTAGCGATGGGTACCCCAACATCAGCAATATTAGCTCAAACATATATATACAACACTCAGAACATAATCAGATGTACCTAATCTTAGTAAAACAACAAATAACTGGCTACTTTAGATACGTTGATGATATTCTTATAATCTATGACCATGAAAATTTGCATTCACATACAGCTGTTCACACTTGAGCACTGCTGGAGCATTTCAACTGGGAGCTGTTTGACCACCTCTATACAACCCTGATTATTTCATTTTATTCACCTTCCATAAATCTCGGTCAGAGTGACTACCACCTGTTTACTTGTACCTACCTGAAGAACTGGTGGGGATCACAGAGCTCCAACAATAATGAGGAGTTGATGGAAGATGTCAAAACATGACTGAACTCACAGGCATACACAAACACAAGTGCCCCAATTCTGGCAGTGACTATGTTGAGAAGTAGTTTAAGTATATACGTATAATATTATTTTCACTGCTTGTTTTGTTAACTGCTCAATGGAGGGCATTTTCTGAATAGCCCTCGTACAAGCCATCAGATATAACAATGACACTTCTGGATATTCTAAACATATACTAAACACAGGAAACACATACGGAAGCATTATGGACACCATGGACATAATAAAACGGGAAAAAAAGAGGCAAACATTTAAACACACAAGTGCAATACCAAATTCATAAAATTAGCAAAAGAAACACGTGAACATATGCGAGTCTGTAGGACCCCTAGTAACAATTTACATATGTAGGCTACACAGTTCTGAACCTGCTATCTCCATCTTCAGGGTATATAAATAAGGGTTTTATTCTTATATCCTGAATGTGAAGGCAGCAAATTCATCCCAAATATTTGTACTTGTCTTCCAATCTATATATCTTCACATCTCAGATCATAATCTTAAGATTTGAAATTTATTTTGATTTTCTCATAATCGTTAAAAAAAAAATGGAGAAATTACAGTGAAATTACAGATGAACAATGTTACTGTTATGGCGTTAATGATGAACAAATATTTTGAATTGTTTCATTTTGGTCCGTTACACTATCAATCACAAAATTAATAGAAAGTCCGTCGAGTGTAACAATTTGTAGGTCACTTTTTTATTATTATTTCTGCCTTACATGTTTCGGTTTGACACAACCATCATCAGAGGCACTTGCTATAATTATGGAAACACTGTCGCTTTTTTGATGTTCACAATTATGTTTGTCGTGTGGACGCTGCTACGATATGTTGACGTGTAAAAGCACAGAACATGCTAAGATAGTTGAGTACACTCTCAAGTTCTCACTTTTCATCCGAACCTATTTTTAAGTTAAAACGCTAAAATGTTAAAATATTTTATATCAAATATTTTAACATTTTAGTTCGGATGAAAAGTGAGAACTTGAGAGTGTACTCAACTATCTTAGCATGTTCTGTGCTTTTACACGTCAACATATCGTAGCAGCGTCCACACGACAAACATAATTGTGAACATCAAAAAAGCGACAGTGTTTCCATAATTATAGCAAGTGCCTCTGATGATGGTTGTGTCAAACCGAAACATGTAAGGCAGAAATAATAATAAAAAAGTGACCTACAAATTGTTACACTCGACGGACTTTCTATTAATTTTGTGATGAACAAATATTTGATTCAGTGAAAGTGTAAAATATAGCGGAATTTCAGTCTTGTTTTATGCAAACGCAGAAAATCATATATTTTTTGTTCATGAAGACTGTATATTCCCAGAAATGCATCTGTCTCAAAAAATCACTTACCAGTTATTGCACTCCTTATAGGTAGCTCCAGCAGAGCTGGAAGACATACTTCGCAGCCACCCTGGAGTTGCTGATGCAGCAGTCATTGGTGTACCAGATCAAAGGTCTGGTGAAGTACCTAAAGCCTTCATTGTATCAAAAGGACCGAAACTCACAGAAGATGATGTGAAGAAATTTATGGCAGGGAAAGTATCTAGACATAAGCATTTGACTGGTGGTGCAGAATTTGTAACTACAATTCCAAGAAATCCATCAGGCAAGATTTTACGAAAGAAACTTAAAGAAATGTATTGCAAATGACATTCCATGTTTATGGTTGAGAACAGATGTGAAGGCATGAGAAGTAACAAAACACTTCAAAATCAGAAGAGTACCATACCTTCTGAAAGCTGGATGGACATAAAGTGTGGTAATTATTACAGCAGTGGTACAAAACATATATTTTAATGAAATGTAGTCTTACACAAATTACAGATCTAACTATTTTTATATGAAATATGTTTTTGGTGATCTGTGTGGTAATTTTAGAATGAAATCAAACTGGAAGCAACAAAACAATAATGGACTAAGAAGTTTATTATCAAACAAACCGGGGCCATATATGGCTCAGTGAAAGACTTCTACACATACAGAACTACTTGACTGAGGTGATACAGGCCAAATCTAGTTCCCATTAATAAACAATACTGAAATACAATTACGTCTCTAGGCATACGTGTTCTGCATGAAGAAAACAGGCCTATTATGATGAAACAAATTTCATGTATACAGACTTCTTTGAAAAGGTGGTAGTTGGTCTCCTGGTTCAGTTTCATGTTCCCAGTTGCCTATTATTATCCTTATACTTGTGTCTAAGTGTCCCATTAGTGGGTTCATCACAGCATGCTTGCTTACTCATGGAGCTGAGCCCTCCTTGAGGAGCCGCCAATTCTGCAGCTACTCAAGAATTTCCCAGCAATTTATGGAACCCAAAGGTTCATCACCGTGTTCACAAGAGCCCTCCACTGGCCCCTATCCTCAGCCAGATCAATCCAATCCACACCATCCCATCCTATCTCTCCAAGATCCATTTTAAGGTTCATCATAGCTAATTAACTTATTTCATGAAGAAGAGTCCTAAAAAATCCGTCCAGGTCTGAGGCTTCTTGTGATTTTTTGTAACAAGCTTATTTTTTAGGGTGAGGAGTTGTTAGCCCCACGCCCAACCCTCCAGCTGGAGGACCACACCTTGTCGGCTGTCTGTGACTGCTTATTCAAGGGACACACCTAAAGTGGAGATCTTAAAGGTTATTAATTAAACATCAACACATTTTACTTATTCATTCATATATTTCACTTCATTTGATGCATTTATTGATACAACCAAGCAAATGGGTTATCTTACTGCTGCATCTCTTGCAACAGTTGAAACTTTGGCCATACATCCTTGGCTTGATTTGTTTTCAAGGTGTTTTATTTTTGGTTCAGAAGAATCAAAAATGCTGTGGCATATTTGCTGAAAGCCAGAATTATGATGCCAGCAGAGATAGCCGTTGCTAACAAACAGCTCTGCAAACACACCTGTTGCTGTGCAATGGCTCAGTAAACGTCATGTGACCGGGGCCACGCTTACACATGCCACAATAGAAGATCTGCTGGAAGCGGTGATTTCTATACGGTCTGTGGTGAGGCTATATAACGGGTCCTTGGCCCATACTAGGAAGCCATGGACAGAGGAGACAGTCTTGAGAAGATGGTTAGGGAGTGCAGTTCTTGTGCCGTAGAGGTGTAAGGAATAGCTCTTTTAAGAAGACTCTAATGAGGCAACAACTAATGGAGGCTGTAACATGCTTAGAAGAATAAGATAGATTATAGTGATTTGTGCAGCATTATAGTTACTTGTAATTGCAGGTTATAAGTGTGCAATTATCCGGTCACGGTAGCCGAGCAGTCTAAGGTGTGCACTGTCTTCGCTCGCTCGGAAGCTGGGATCGTGGGTTCGAATCCCACTCCAGGCATGGATGTTTGTGTGCGTTTTTCTGTGTTTGTCTACAGGTAGAGGCCTTGTGACGAGCTGATCACTCGCCCAAGGAGTCCTACCGAATGTGTAAAATGTAGAAAAACTGAAGTGAACGGAGTTCATGGAAGTAGGCCTCGGCCCACTGGGGCTGTAGTGCCAAGGAAAAGAAAAAGTGTGCAATTAATGCCACTGACAATTAAAAACCCTTCCCTATTCGTTTTTGAGAACGTAATTGTTGCAAGCGGAATGTCCTAAATACTATCGCACAACTCTACACCTGCAACAATACTAGGACTGCAAGTGTTGTCTTCTAATTATCCCCACTAATTCATTTTCGACTTGCAGTTATGTGCTGGCATTTTCTTACTATGTACTCAGTCAGTGGTTACACTTCCTAGCAGACAGGAAGAAGCCAACTAATCACTGTGTTTGTGTTCACATATTGAAAGATAGCTCTTGAGTTTCTGGACAATACTCATCCTGCTTTTGTTTAAAAACAACGTTTTGGAGACGACTCTGTCTCCGTCCTCAGGTGAAAGCCTACATAGATTGGCCCAGTCGACAGAGCTAGTCTCTATCTCCGAACATTAGAACCAAAGCAATATAGAATGTATAAACCAAACACAACATAAACCATCAGTGATTTTGTTACTGTTTATCTCAACTCCCGCTGATGTTTTATGTTGTCTTTAACTTATATATCCTGTCTTGCATGGTTCTGTTGTCCGGAGATTGGGACTAGGTCCATCGATGAGTCCAACTGAGTAGACTTTTACCTGAAGCCGGAATCCAGTCTCCGAAATGCTGCTTCTAAAGGAAAAACAGGATGATGGATAATGTTCAAAAACTCAATAATTATATTAATATGCCATCGTCAGAAACTTTTATATCTTATTTTAGTGGTGTAAGTTTTGTTTTGTAAATATAAGTGTGGTTTTGTAGTTTTATACAAATTTGTGTTGTATTTTCCTCTTGTGCAAGGATAATAAAACATTTTTGTTTTTTCTTTACTGAAAATATCCCAAAGAGAAAGTGTAAATTTAACATTGAATTTAGAAAAATCTTGGTTGAAAGGGGGGGGAATGAAACAGAATGTATATTATATTCAAAACTTTCACGTCGGTAGCAAACAAATGTAGTTTCTTTTTTTAAATTCGCTGAGTGGGGGGTGGAGTCCAACTGGGTCCACTCGGCACGGCGGCCACTGATTTGCCTAATGTAGCCTGCCCCAAGTGATTATGATGATGGAGAATTTGGTGGAATGAAGATTGGCAGGGGAAACCGAAGTACTCTGAGAAAACCCGCCCCAGCGCCACTTTGTCCACCACAAATCCCACCTGACCAGACCCGGGACAAACCCAGGCTGCCGCAATGGGAAGCCAGCGACTGACCGCTTGAGCTATGGCGCGGCCAACAAATGTAGTTATGATTTGGAAGCACATATTGTGAGCCGGGACAGCGCAGTCGGTATAGCGACTGGCTACAGGCTGCACAACTGAGGGGTCTGTGTTCGAGTCCTGATAGGTTCAAGAATTTTCGTTTTTCCAAGTCGTCCAGACTGGCTCTGTGGTTTACCCAACCACCTATCCAATGGGTACAGGAGGCTCTTTACCCAGGGGTAAAGCGGCCCGGGGCGTGAAGCTGACCACTTACCTCCAGCTAGTGCTGAGTTCAAGAAAATGTAGATCTATACATCCACTCCCCCATACGCCTTCATGGTGTAGTGCTTAATTCATTAAGCACAGGGACAACTTTACATTTTTTACCTTTTAAAACACATATCAACAGTGCCAAGCATACACAAATATCCAGACCTTGCGTAATACTCCAAATGTAAGGTTAATTTTTTATTAAAGAAAATTAAAAAATAGAAGAATGTGTGATAGTAATTGAAGGAGCATTGTCATTTCATGCAGTAAACAGTACATAGGTGACAATTCATAGTTAACACGGTGTCCTCCTTTTCCCCTAACAAAGTCGTGTCACTCAATTGATGACACTGTTTCAGCTGTACAGGTTCTGTAGTGTCAACAGAGATGAGAAAATGGTGGTGAATGATAATTATATAAGGGTTAAGATGGATGAGGTGTGGCCTACCTTGGCATTCACCTCAACAGGCAAAGAGAACGTACCGAAGAGAAACTCTTAGTTAAGGTAATTAATAGCTGTCCTGAAATTCTAAGTAGGACCAAAGTACATATTTAAATCAACAGTGCTATACTTACCTGCTCATTCAATTATGTTTTTATTCGGTTCGTTTAGGGCTTTGTCACCTACTGATGTTATGTGACATTGAATTGTATGTCCTGTTCATTTCTTTATGGTAAATCTATGTGACCGATCACGCTGCCAAAAGAGCCCAAATGTCCAAAAGCACTCAGAGAGCCAGAAAGTGGGATGCCTTTGACAGCTCTGGTTTGCCATACTACATCAGAAAAAGAACTTCACCTGTGAATACAGAAAAGGAAAATCGCAAATGGTGTCACTCGTACATTTAGATTTACATTGCATTACATTCCACAGATCAAAAGTCAAATGACTGTAGGATGTGGAACACATCATATAAATACAAAGAATATCTAAAAGCAGCAATAACAACAGTGGTTATACATAAGGTCATTCAGAGATACATCCAGTCAGATCACACTGTCAACTCGTGCTTTTTATACAACATTTCGTCGACAACAATTCAAACCTGCTTGCCTTCTTCGAGAACGCTCAAGAATCGAGTCATACTCTTTATGTGAGTAGGAAGGTCACCGTGTTACCGATTGAGCTCATGCAGTGACAGACGTTCTCATAGTAGTTCAGGCAGTTTCCAACATAAACAACAGCATGAATCACATGTGACGGCAGGGTGTCTATGTGATCTATGTTGCCAGCCAGTCAGTTGCGTTAGTTAAGATGACTTTCTAATCCGTGGCCTGCGTTTTCAACAAATAATATTGAGTAACAGTATGTTCGTGTCTGTCTTTGCGTCGAATCTAGTATTGCAAACATTGCAGGTTCTAGGTCATGAAATATTTTGTCCAGAAGAATGCGACATCTGCCGGCAAGATGAATAAGTTACGTCCATCGTCTGTTTTCGTCGGGAGTAAACCATATGACATGCGATAAATGTCTGTACCGTAGATGTTCAACGGCTGTTGTTTTAAATAAATTCGCTATTCCGCTTATATGATATGCGCGGAGTAGAATGGCTAAGTATAAGTCGAATATATGTTCTATACTACCATTCTTTAAATATGTTTACTTAAAGTATGAGTCACTGGAAGAGATACACCCAGCTGTGAACTAACCAAATACCTGTGCAGTGTCGAATCTTTTTCCAACTACCTGGGAATGTGGATTTTCGTTTCCGTTTTCAGAAGTCTATCGGGTTTTAGTGTTCAGAGTGTGAATGAGAAGAATGTGTTTCGAAGTTAATCGGTATTTGTAGAAAATAATATATTATATTCAGTAAAATGCGGTCGATTAGTGATAGTATGGATGCATATAGTGACACAAGTGTCTGCAGTACAGTTACTATTTTTAATGTAAAATTGTTTGCCTGTCAAGTATTCTGCGTAGGCTAGTTAGGGCTATGTCAAGGAGACCAGTGAAAATTGTGTTAGTTGTTGAATGTGGAGCGCTATTTCTAAGCTCTTTTTAAAGGCAAATAACCAGTTTAAAAATTGTCATCCTACTGCTGATGACTGCATTATGGATCGGAATGAAGACCGACGTAGGATCGCCGTTCAGGATTTGGAGCCACAGGATACGTACGACACAAGACAGGTAGGCCTAATCGTAGCCCACAGAAGTTTTGAAGTTAGTTACTGACAGAAAAACGCCGACTGTTTTGCGGTGAAAATTATTTTGTAACGACAGTTGCACGTTTGAAAATACAACTGCTTCTAATGTTTATACAAGGCGCTTGACCTTAAGGCCTACTTTAATATTTCGTTCTAATTAGCACATTTAGATAGTAGTATGGACTAGAATTCACGTAATGCTGAATGTTAATATGTAATATAAATATGAATGAAACAGAATTAACGTACTGCAGAATGTTAATATGTAACATAAACGTTAATGAAACTCTGCTACATGAAGCTGTATGTTATGTAACAATGTAATATAAAGATCAGATTGTGATTTTCGTTGAAAATGTTGGATTTAAAGTTTTCAACAGTGGTGACTATTAAGAATATGGTCTCCCGGTTTGTAACACCTTGTAGTTTTGGAGAATGCCCAACATTTTAGAGGAACGTATCGCCTCCATCATCAGTGTAGGATTGTAGGTGGCATGTCCCTCTGAAGCGTTGGGCTGTGTCTGAATTGCATGGGGTTACAGCCCAAAAGGCCATACTCTTCCTTCAGAATGTTCCATGAATAGCATTTTGTAAAGATAATCATTAGTTTCATATCCCAAGTTTTAATATTAGAGCAAGGGTTACAATTGAGGAAGGAATTTCTGGTTCTTATTCACTGTTTTTTTTTGTTTGTTTGTTTGTTTGAATTCACTATAATCACTGCTGCCGACACGTAATGGAATTGAAATTATATCATATTTTGAAGAAAATGGTTACCTCACATTTTGTGTGGAAAAAGAGACCTTGTATGTAATACACACTAAATTATGTGGCTTCTTGATGTTGCAGTTTTAAAATATATGGGAAAGGATTAATTTTTAGTTTTGTATTTTATGTTCTTACACATTAATTTTGTAAAAGTTTCATTTTGCTTAGTAGTGTGACCAGTAGCAGGTTTTGGTATTGGTGTGTAATAATAATAATAATAATAATACCTACTTACTCACTCACTCATGTAACTGAGTCCTTGAGGAGCTGCCAATTCTGCAGCTACTCAATAATTTCCCTGCATTTTTTGGAACCTGAAGGTTCATTACCATGTTCACAAGAGCCCTCCAGTGGTCCCTATCATGAGCCAGATCAATTCAATCCATACCATCCCATCCTCTCTCTCAACGATCTGTTTTAATATGGTCCACCCATCCATGCCTTGGTCATCCCACTGGCCTCTTTCCTTCCGGTGTTCCCACCAATATCCTATATGCATTCCTCTTCTCACCATTCATACTACATACCCTGCCCTTGACTTAATTATTCCAATTATGCTTGGAGAAGAGTACAAATTATGAAGCTCGTCACTGTTCAGTTTTCTCCAACATCCTGTCACTTGATGTCTCATCATTTAAGATATTCTCCTGAACACCCTGTTCTCGAACACCATCAGTCTGTGTTCCTCCCTTGATATCAGAGACCAAGTTTCACACCCATACAGAACCACAGGCAAAATTAAATTTTTTTAGGTGGGACCCATGTCACCACGGCATGGCGCGTCCTCAGGTTGCGGTTGGAGGAGGCGTCCTCCAGGTATGGAAGGAAGCTGCGAATAAATTGAATAAGCAGTTGCGGACAACCGACAAGGGGTGGTCCTCCAGCTTGGAGGTTGGGCTTGGGGCTAACAATTTCTCACCATAAAAAATAAACTTTTTATGAAAATGTTCAAAAAACCTCGGGCCTTGACGGATCCTCTGGATAAACGACCAAGGCTAAAGAAATACTACTACTACTACTA